GCAACAAAGATCAAAAGAAGCAAAGGAGGACATTATATAATGATAAAAGGATCAATGCAACAACAAGAAGAGCTAAAGATCCTAAATATATACGCACCCAATATAGGAATACCCAGACATACAAGACTAATAAAGAGACTTAGACTCCCACACAATAATAGTGGGAGACTTCAATATTAATATTAGACAGATCAATGAGACAGAAAATTAACAACGATATCCAGGACTTGAACTCAGATCTGGAACAAGTAAACGTAATTAACATTTACAGAACTCTCCACTTTTTTTTTTTTTTTTTTTTTTTTTTTTTGTGAGACGGAGTTTCGCTCTTGTTACCCAGGCTGCAGTGCAATGGCGCGATCTCGGCTCACCGCAACCTCCGCCTCCTGGGTTGAGGCAATTCTCCTGCCTCAGCCTCCTGAGTAGCTGGGATTACAGGCACGAGCCACCATGCCCAGCTAATTTTAGAACTCTCCACTTTAAACACACAAAATATACACTCTTATCAGTACCACATCATATCAACTTAGAAGCTTAAACGAAATGTTGGTTGGCTCCTTGTTTGTTATTCTCTTCCCTCATTTTTCTTTCATGTCTCCATTATTAAGGACAATTAGAGGCATACCCATATTAGTCTGCATTCTAGCCTGGGCAATAAAGCAATACCCCCATTCTCTCTCCCTCTTCCTCTTTCTCTTTCTTTCTCTTCTTTATTCTTTTTCTTTTTTTTTTTTTTTTTGAGACGGAGTTTCGCCCTTGTTACCCAGGCTGGAGTGCAATGGCACGATCTCGGCTCACTGCAACCTCCGCCTCCTGGGTTCAGGCAATTCTCCTGCCTCAGCCTCCTGAGTAGCTGGGATTACAGGCACGTGCCACCATGCCCAGCTAATTTTTTTTGCACTTTTAGTAGAGACGGGGTTTCACCATGTTGACCAGGATGGTCTCGATCTCTCGACCTCGTGATCCACCCGCCTCGGCCTCCCAAAGTGCTGGGATTACAGGCTTGAGCCACCGCGCCCGGCTTATTCTTTTTCTTATTATTCTTTTTTTCTTTCTCAAAAAAAAAGCTAGAAACAAACTTCCGTCTAGATTTGATGAATCAGTAAATTGCAGTACATTCAACATACAACAGTGAGACTACGCTCCTTGCAATGACACAGATGAATCTCATAATGTTGGCGAAAGAAGCCAGTCTCAAGAGAGAACATACAGTATGATGCCATTTATATGAGGTTCAAAGGCGGGCAAAGTCGATTTATGGTGACGGAAGCTGAGATGGGGGTTAGCCTTGGCGGGTTAGTGAATGGAAGGGCATGGGGAGGCTTTGGGTTGGGGACAGCTGGTTGGTTACGCAGATGTGTTCAGTTTTTGAAACTTCAGTGGGAAGTTACACAATTTGTGCATGTTTCTGTATGTGTGTTACATTTCAACAAAAATCTCTGGAAAGTAAAACAAAAAATTAAAGTAGAGGAGGTTCTAGAACAATCCTCACAAGCTGATTGCTTGGACACTTTCATGAACCTGGGATCCAAATCCATATCCAGGATTTCCTGGAGTGTAAACAACCCTGATCTAGTCAAACCTCCTCACTCTGCTATGAATATTTTATTTACTTATTTATTTATTAATTCTTTTTTTTTTTAATTTTTAGACAGGGTCTCACTCTGTTGCCCTGGCAGTGGTATGACCTGGGCTCACTGCAGCCTCAACCTCTTGGGTTCAATCAACCCTCCTGCATCCCAAGTAGCTGGGATTACAGGTGCGCACCAACATGCCCAGCTGATTTTTGTATTTTTAGTAGAGATGGGGTTTCCCCATGTTGCCCAGGCTGGTCTCAAACTCATGGGCCCAAGTGATCCTCCCGCCTCAGCCTCCCAAAGTGCTGGGATTACAGATGTTAGCTACCATGCCCAGCCTGCTAGGAATACTTTAATCCCCTCACTTTAAAGGAGGAAACTGAGGCTAGAGAGAAGAGACCTGCTAAGGTCACATAGTATGTGGATGGCAGTGCCAGGCACAGCACACAGTACTGAGGGCTCAGAAAGAAGAATAGAGACAATGTGGTGCAAAAGACAGGCATGTAGCCTCTGCTGCTGTCTAACCAGGTGGCCTCAGGCACATGCTTTAACCCTCCCATGCCTTCATCTGAAAATCAGGGCTGCTGTGAAGACTGAGTCACACGAGCACAGGGCTTGGCACAGCACTCAAAGCCATGAACCATTATGACTGCTATTTGTACCAAGGGTATAAGCTCAGGAGAGGGAGGGAGGGAGCTCTCATGCATACCTTGGGCACTGCAAAGGCTTTGTTAGCTCATGTGACCCTCTCACGGCCCCTAAAGGTGAGACGCAGACCCATTTTACAGATAAAGCTACGGAGACTAGATAGTTAAGTGACTTGAACTATTAAGAATGGAGGAATGGGACTGAGGTCCCTCTGTCCACAGCACAGGGACTACTTTTACTACCACACTAGTCACCAAAGGGCAGGGTGAGGCATCACAGCTCAATGAATGAATGAATGAATCCTCAGGACTGCCTGGGTGCCCCAAGAAATTCCCCAAGACTAGGGCAAGGCCAGCGGCTGAGGAGGGCAGGCCCCTGCACAGCCTCAACTCCATAGGACTTATGGACCCCTAGCTTCCCCATGGGGCCTCTCTCCATCTCAGCGCCAGCCCACCGTATCCGAGCACCAGACCAGAGTCTGCCCCAGGGGCAGTGCCAGCCTGCACTCTATCACCAGAGCCGCCTCACTCCCACACTTAGACCACCTCTAATCCCTAGCAGCACCTTTCCTGGGCCAAGAAGGAGCTTTCCTGACTCCAGATCTGACCCCACCCCTTCCTGCTCAACACTCTCTTTCCAAGGTAAAGCATAGAACAACTGAGTCCTTCAAAGCCCTTCGCCACCTGCTGCCTCACAGCCCCTATGCTACCTCAGTCCCATGGCTCACCACACCCCTCTGTGTTTGCTGGGTGGTGGGCATGGCTCTGGGCCCTGGGAACAGAGCAGTAAATGAGACAAGTCCTAACCCACATCTTGCCCTAGGCACCCAGTTTGAGTCACATGTAAATCCCTAAGTGCCTGACACAGGTCTTGCCCAGAAACCCATGTAAGGCAATACCGGTGAATGAACGGGACTTGTCTGGATGTGTACACAGAGGCTGTTGCCTCCCTGTTCAATCTGACAAATGCCTCCTAAAACCCCAGCTCCTGCCCCTCCTGCTGCTCCTGCTACCTGGGATATTTTCTGCACACCCAACTCCTATGCAACTCCATCTAACACCGCCTCTGCCAGGAAGCCTTCCTCTGGCCTCCTACAGCTGACTCAGTCCCTCCTTTCTTTGGGAGTCCCTCATTGTGGGAATGACTATGTCCAGGTCTGTCTCCTTCATCAGACTGGGACCACCTCCCAGTGCCACCCGAGACACCTGACTCATTTCTGTGCTTCTAGAATGTAAGGACCAGCACCATGCAGCTTGGTAAATATTTACGGAATGAATAAGTGAATCGACCTATCAAGAGAAGAGTAAACATCAGGAAGGGAAGAACAATATGGGTTCCCAGGCCTCGAGGAGAAATAGGGAGGAGAGTGAAGACGACACTCGAAGCTCCCAGCGTCATGGCTCAGCTCTCCTGACCTCCCCTCCCTGACCTCTGTGCCCTATTCCCCACCAAGCCCCCCAACTCTTCTGCCTCCAGGAGCCTTCAGAAACTGACCATACCCCACAGCACAGAGGGGCCAACTGCTCCTCGCCAAGCCCCCAGGACCCCTTGGTGAGGCTGTTAGGAGGTTTCTGGTTTCCCGTCTACAGGCCATCTGTCCCTCCACAACAGGCTCACTGGCCCTCCTCTAGAGAGATTCGAGGTCCATTTTAGATCAGAAGTTCCCTAGGGACCGAGGGAACCACTCTGCAACTCATTGCTTTAGGGGGCCTCTGACATCCTGTAGAGTCCTCTGGCAAACCTCTCTGAATATCAGCATCCACAGCTAATAGCTGGCACAGATCAGAGTTACTGAGCAGCTCCCTCAGTAACAACACATTCTGACAGGCTACAGACTTGGCTGCTCTGAAGAGCGTGGCTGCCTGGTGTGTCCAGCCTCCAGGCCAGCTGTGTGGGGAAGCCTCCTGCCTACCAGGCCCTGTGCGTCACCCTCTCCCTGACCTCCTAAGGCATTGGAAGCTCACTGTACCTGACGGGAAGCAGCAGGGCACCAGCTCTGAGCTTGACACTCAGCTCCACCAGAGACTCACCGTGTGACCTGCTTCCTTACTCTCAAAAGGCGGAAATAAGACCAAGCTCACAACGGTAGCCATGAGGTCTAAAGAATGATGCTTGGAAAGGGCCTAGCACAGTGCCTGGTGTAGAATGGGTGCTCAATAAATACCTGGCACACAAAGCCTCCTCCACCTCTGATTTGGTGAAATGCAGCAGTGGCATCCCCAGGGCTACAGGACAATGCCCCTGGCTGGTGTTTGGTGAGAGGTCTGGAGCTTCAGAGCACAGAGGTTAAGACTTAGGCTCTGAAGGATTAGAGATATGGCTTCCTGCCCTGGATGTGCTGGGTACTTGCCGTGTGACCCTGGGCAAATCACCTCCCCTCTCTGAGCCTCAGTGTCCACATTTTCAAGATGGACAATGAGTTGGCATGTATTAATACACTCGGTTGGCAAGGGTAGCAAAACAACTGTTCTGGCAATCATGATTCATCAGGACCGACCAGGGCCAGATACTCTGCAAAGAGCTGGGTTAAACTTGGCCCTGAGGGCAGTCTGCATCCTCCTCTGCTCTGGCAGCAGAGGAGGTGATACCTTGTTCATAACCTGGAGTTATTGGATGTAGGGATCCTAGTCCCCACTGGCCTGTGTGCTGTGCCAGCCAATGCATCCCTCTACCTCATGGGGGGAGCTAGGACTGGGCTCAGGGCAGCGTCAGGGAAGGCTCAGCATTCAGGCCCCTTCACTTATCACCCCCAGACCCCCATCTAGGGCCACTCACCAGGATGGTCGTGACCACCAGGGTCTTGTTGGCCAACGTCTGTGACAGGTTGATGTCCAGGGTGGTGGCGTTCATGGCTAGGGTGCGGTTAGAGTACCACACCCCAATCTAGGAGGCAGAGAGGGTGCTGTCAGTTCAGGCCCTATCTGAGGTCATGGCAGCCTCTGGGCCTGCCCCCACCCTCACCCCGGCAGGGCTCTGGCGTTGCCTTGGGTCTGCTCACCTCACGGTGGCCCTGCCGGGACTTCTCTAGGATACGCAGGGTGTAGTTGGTTCTCTGCCCTTTGCTGTTGAACTCGACCCGCCCGGTCAGCCCATCATACTCTACCTGGCAGGGTGGGGAGGCGGGGCAGAGGGAGGAGGGTGCAGGGGTCCAGTGATGGGCAGGGAAGGCCCAGCGGGGACAAGACATCCACAGAGAAAGGTACAGACAGATTGGGGTGGAAGGGACAAGAGAGAAGAGGAAGACCACAGTCAAAAGAGCAAGATAACATGCAAGGAAGCAAGAGGAGATGGGACAAAAGGCATGAAGAGGGCAAGTCTCAGAAGGAGAGAGAGCGAGCAACCCAGACAGGCAGCAACAGCCGGGAGTGGACAGGGGAGGCAGTGGGTAAGGTGTGAGGAGCAGGGAGGGCAGAGGGCCGCAGGGTGAACACAGTGAGTGTTCCCACCTGAGGTGGCCATGCCCTGCCTCCTCTGCCCACTCCCGCTTGGGCTCACCATTCGCAGGTAGTTCATGAGGCTGGTCCCGTGGGGCCAAATGTTGGCCGACGTACAGGCCAGAGGCTTCACGCCAATCTCCTGGCTGCGGTTCAGCTCTCGGACGGCACTCACCACCACATGCACAGCGTCAAACATCAGGGCAGCTGACAGCTGGGGTGAGACAGAGGCGGAGGTGGGATGGATAAGAGGTTGCTTAGCCAGGGAAGCCCCTGAGCTGCCACCCTCAAGCCCTTGAATAATTTCCCTCTCTCCAGGAATGGGAAACTAGGTGGGTCAGGAGGAAGTGGCTCTGGTGTCTTTCTTGGGAAGTGGAAATGACAGTGGGGAAGGTGTTTATGCCTCTGGTGTCTTGGTGGGAGTAGGTCTTCTAGACTGAGTGTGGCCATGTGTCCCTCAGAGGGTCCCTGGATGGCCAGCTGTGTCACCTGCATGGGCAAGTGTGTCTGGGAATCTGGGTGATGCAGGCTGGGAAAGACAGCCATAGTCCCCGTCTGAGCGTATCTGCGGCATGTTTATGTGAGTGGGGCTGGATGACAGTACCCATTCGTCTATATGCTGGGTGGGTGTGGTGTCAGAGAGGCAGGAGCATGTAATGGTTGGTCCTGGGCCTGTGAGGCAGGTGGCTCAGAGCTAGAGGCCTGGCTCTGCTATTTCCTCATTCTGTGATAGGTCTGAGTCCCCATTCCTCCCTGAACCTCAGTTGCCTTCTCTGTAAAATGAAGATAACAGTAATCTCTACCTTCATGTGTTGTGGTGATCTGGTAACATAACGCCTGTAAAGCACTCAGAACAGCACCTGGCACACAGAGAGCGTCCCATGCACTCTGGCCACCAAGCTGTGACACAACCATGGTGTCTGTGTGTGCTTTTGTGTGTGTGTCCCAGCTGTGTTAGTCTGAAGGTCTGAGTATCTGCGTTGGGCAGATGCGCACAGGAGTACACACAAACGTGCCTCTGTATTGGGGTGTGTGATGTCCCTGTGTGGACTCATCTGACTGGACAGCTTGGTGTCCATGTGCACTCTGCATGTAGGAGTATCTTGGTGTCTTGGTATCTGAGTAGATGTCTATGAACAAATATACATAAATATGCACCTTTTGTATGCTGGCATTTATTCAGCATCTATTATCGGACATCTGTTATGAACTACAGACTGTTTTAAGTGCTGGGAATACAATGGTGAGCAAAATAGACAGAACCCCCTGCCCTGATGGAACTTAACAGTCCTCAAATCCGTATCTCTATGTAAGTCTAATACACAGCAAGCCATATCATGATGAAATAAACAAATATAAGTGCTATGGAAAAAAAGAAGGCAGGAAGGAGTGAAAAAGTAGGTAGTTTACCTTTTTTTTTTTTTTTGAGACAGAGTCTCGCTCTGTCGCATGGGCTGGAATGCAGTGGCACAATCTTGGCTCACTGCAACCTCTTCTACCTCCCAAGTTCAAGCAATTCTTGTGCCTCAGCCACCTGAGTAGCTGATACTACAGGCATGTGCCACCATGCCCGGCTAATTTTTGTGTTTTTAGTAGTTTCACCATTTTGGTCAGGCTGGTCTTTTTTTTTTTTTTTTTTTTTTTTTTTGAGACGGAGTTTCGCCCTTGTTACCCAGGCTGGAGTGCAATGGCGCGATCTCGGCTCACCGCAACCTCCGCCTCCTGGGTTCAGGCAATTCTCCTGCCTCAGCCTCCTGAGTAGCTGGGATTACAGGCACGTGCCACCATGCCCAGCTAATTTTTTGCACTTTTAGTAGAGACGGGGTTTCACCATGTTGACCAGGATGGTCTCGATCTCTCGACCTCGTGATCCACCCGCCTCGGCCTCCCAAAGTGCTGGGATTACAGGCTTGAGCCACCGCGCCCGGCCCAGGCTGGTCTTAAACTCCTGGCCTGAAGTGATCCTCCCGCCTCAGCCTCCCAAAGTGCTGGGATTAAAAGTGTAAACCACCACACCTGGCCAATTTACTTTAGACAGAGTCTCGCTCTCTTGCCCAGGCTGGAGTGCGATGGCACAATCTCGGCTCACTGCAACCTCTGCTTCCCAAGTTCAAGTGATTCTTCTGCCTCAGCCTCCTGAGTAGCTGGGATTATAGGCACTCGCCATCATGCCCGGCTAATTTTTGTACTTTTGTAGAGATGGGGTTTCACCATGTTGGCCAGGCTGGTCTCAAACTCCTGATCTGCCCACCTCGGCTTCCCAAAGTTCTGGGATTACAGGTGTGAGCCAGCGTGCCCGGCCAAGTTTACCATTTTTTTTTAACAGGAGGAGGAAGGAAAATCTCATACCTGAGGGGACACTGGAGCAATGTCCTAGTGATGGGGAGCAAGCCGTCGCTTCTCTGGGGAAGTGCACAGGAAGCAGGGGGAGGACGCTATGCAAAGGCCCTAAGGTGCACCTGTGCTTGGGGCACTAGAGGCACCTCGAGGAGCTGGTGTGGGCAGAGTGGTGTGACAGGTAGAGGGAGAGAAGGAAGGCATGGGCCCAACCCATCACAGGGCCACACCACGAGGCCTCAGGGAGGGCCAGAGGGTTCTGAGCATGATCTGAGTGAGGTCTGAAAGGGGCCCCCAGAAGTATCTATGTACAGAGTGTCTCTGGGGGTGGCTGGGTATCTGTGTGCTCACCGCAGGGCCCGGGTATGTGCTGGCTTCACAGTTCTCCCTCCAGGACATGTTGAGGCTACGGACAAACTCAGGGTAGAAGGGGTGGGATGTGTTGAACATGGAGAAGCCCAGGATGTTGGAGGAGTCCTCCACGATACCATCCAGATGCAGGATAGGGAAGTCCTGGGATGAGGAAGAGATGGTAAGGCCTGTGGCTGAGCCCTGAGTGGGACAGCTGCAGTGGGAGGGAAGTCGGGGCAGAGAGGGGCCAGAGGGTGTACACACCATGGTGGTGAGGATGTACTTGTAAAATGCTGAGGTCATTCCCAGTTCCGAGGCCTGGAAAACACAGAGAAGCAAAGAGGCAGAGTGAGAGACAGAGACCCATAGGCAGAGACAGGGAGGATCCAAGAGAGGAAGAGAGATTTAGAGACAGGCCCAGCGAGAAGACACCCCGTGAGAAACACAGTAAAGTAAGAGATGCTCAGACAGACAGGGAGGAGACAAGTGGGGGCAGAGGGAGGCCTTAGTCCCAGATGTCCCACGATGCTGACTGCTGTCCCAGGTGTGACAGAGATTTTGCTAGAGGAGAGAGTAAGACCCCCAAATTCCCCACCTCTCATGAAGGCACTTAGAAGATGTCCTTCTGGAGATAGGCAAGAAGAAGCCTCAGAAACAGGGCAGGGAGGGAAATTATCTTTTTTGGTTGTTTGTTTTTAAGACAAGGTCTTGCTCTGTCACCTAGGCTGGAGTGCAGTGGTGAGATCGTAGCTCAATGTAGCCTTGACCTCTCAGGCTCAAGTGATCCTCCCACCTCATCTCCTGAGTACCTGGAATCATAGGCATGCACCACAATGCCAAGTTAATTAAAAAAAAAAATTTTTTTTGTAGAGATTAAGTCTTGCTATGTTGCTCAGGCTGGTCTCAAGTTCCTGGCCTCAAGCAATCCTCCTGCCTTGGCCTCCAATAGTGTTGGGATTATAGATGTGAGCCACCAGGCCCAGCAGAGAGGAGAGCCTTAATTTTAATCCCCACACTCTCCAAAAGCCATGATTGGGCTGCTAATGAGTAGGGCTCAGCCCAGTCATAAAGTTAGAAAATCGATCCCCTGCAATATTTAAAAGTGTTTTGCAATAATAGCAGCCAGTTTGAATGTCAAGATTCATTCTTGAGCCCCTTTTCTCATAGTCCTCAAGGAAAACGAAGCTGGAAAAACTCCCTGCCAGAAGCACCCAAGTCTGTCCCGCTATGAGAATCATAACATTAAAGGGCACCAGCTTGCATTTCCTGGGTGGCAGGGGTTAAGCTCTCATCACATGGGCGTCAGGGAAGGGCAGGATTGGAGAGGGAAGAGACAACTGTTCACCTGGCTGTCACGGGAGTGGCCGGGATCCCAGCCCAGGCCTGTCTACCTCCCAAACCTGTAATCTCTTCCCTAAGCCATCCTGCCTCAAGAGTCCAGTGGATTCTGTTCACACTTCCTATGGGCTATATCAGCAGTGACATAGTTTTTTCTTTCTTTCTATTTTTTTTTTGAGACAGAGACTCACTCCGTCACCAGGCGTCAGGCTGGAGTGCAACGTCGTGATCTCGGCTCACCACAACCTCCACCTCCCGGGTTCAAGCAATTCTTCTGCCTCAGCCTCCCAAGTAGCTGGGACTATAGGCGCGCGCCACCATGCTCGGCTAATTTTTTTGTATTTGTAGTAGAGGCGGGGTTTCACCATGTTGGCCAGGATGGTCTCGATCTCTTGACCTCGTGAATCCGCCCGCCTCGGCCTCCCAAAGTGCTGGGATTACAGGCATGAGCCACTGCGCCCGGCCCAGTTTTTTCTTTTTTGAGACAGAGTCTCATTCTGTTGCCCAAACTGGAGTGCGGTGGTGCGATCTCGACTCACTGCAACCTCCACCTTCTGGGTTCAAGTGATTCTCCTGCCTCAGCCTCCTGAGTAGCTGGGACTACAGGCATGTGCCACCATGCCTGGCTAATTTTTTGTATTTTTAGTAGAGATGGGGTTTCACTGTGTTAGCCAGGATGGTCTTGATCTCCTGACCTCATGATCCGCTCACCTCAGTCTCCCGAAATGCTGAAATTACAGGCATAAGCCATCGCACTCGGCTGACATATGGCTTTAATTAAAAAAAAAAAAAAAAAAGTAGGCAGGGCGCGGTGGCTCAAGCCTGTAATCCCAGCACTTTGGGAGGCCGAGGCAGGTGGATCACAAGGTCAAGAGATCAAGACCATCCTGGTCAACATGGTGAAACCCCGTCTCTACTAAAAATACAAAAAATTAGCTGGGCATGGTGGTGTGTGCCTATAATCCCAGTTACTCAGGAGGCTGAGGCAGGAGAATTGCTTGAACCCAGGAGGTGGAGGTTGCAGTGAGCCGAGATCGCGCCATCGCACTCCAGCCTGGGTAACAAGAGTGAAACTCCGTCTCAAAAAAAAAAAAAAAAAAAAAAAAAAAGTAGAGAAAATAAATAATACAAATTTAATTATGAAGAAAAATTAAGATCAGTGTAGTAGAGCTGGGTGCAGTGGCTCACGCCTGTAACCCCAGAACTTTGGGAGGCTGAGGCAGGAGGATCACTTGAAGCCAGGAGTTCAAGACCAGTCTGAGCAATATAGTGAGACGTTGTCTCTAATAAACAAATAAATATTAAATAAAAATAATTTTTAAAAGAGCAGGTTTGAGAGGCCGAGGCAGGTGAATCACCTGAGGTCAGGAGTTCAAGACCAGCCTGGACGACATGGTGAAACCCTGTCTCTACTAAAAAATAGAAAAATTGGCCGGGCGCGGTGGCTCACACCTGTAATCCCAGCACTTTGGGAGGCCGAGGCGGGTGGATCATGAGGTCGAGAGATCGAGACCATCCTGGTCAACATGGTGAAACCCCGTCTCTACTAAAAATACAAAAAATTAGATGGGCATGGTGGCACGTGCCTGTAATCCCAGCTACTCAGGAGGCTGAGGCAGGAGAATTGCCTGAACCCAGGAGGCAGAGATTGCGGTGAGCCGAGATCGCGCCATTGCACTCCAGCCTGGGTAACAAGAGCGAAACTCCGTCTCAAAAAAAAAAAAAAGAAAAAGAAAAATTAGTTGAACGTGGTGGCATACACCTGTAGTCCCAGCTACTTGGGAGGCTGAGGGAGGAGAATCGTTTGAACCTGGGAAGCGGAGGTTGCAGCGAGCTGAGAATGCACCACTGCCCTCCAGCCTGGGTGACAAAGCAAGACTCTGTTTCAAAAAATTAATAATAAAATAAAACAAATAAAAGAGCAGGGAAGCAAAAGAGTGATTGGTGAGTATGGATCATTGGTAGACAGAATGTGCCAGGCCCACAGGGAAAGGTCCTGGTGCTCTGGTCTCTCCCATGTGCCCTTGAGCCAGTTCTTTCCTCCCGATCCCCAGATTCTTCATCATGACATCTGTCCTATGGGGTGGGGTGAAAGCCAAATTAAAGAATATATGCAGGCCAGGTGCAGTGGTACATGTTTGTAACCCCAGCATTACAGGAGGCTGAGGCAGGAGGATCACTCAAGCCTAGGAGTTTGAGCCCAGCCTGGGCAACATAGCAAGACCCAGATTCTATAAAAAACTTTAAAAAAAAATTAGCCAGGTGTGGTGGCACAAGCCTGTAGTCCCAGCTACTCGGGAGGCAGAGGCAGGAGGATTCTTTGAGCCCAGGAGTTTGAGGCTGCAGTGAGCCAGGATCACACCACTGCACTCCAGCCTGGGTAACAGAGCAAGAGCCTGTCTCAAAACAAAGAAAAAAGCCAGGTGCAGTGGCTCACGCCTGTAATGCCAGCACTTTGGGAGGCTGAGGTGGGTGGATCACATGAGGTCAGGAGTTCAAGACCAGCCTGGCCAACATGGTGAAACCCTGTCTCTACTAAAAAATAAAAATAAAAAAATTACCTGGGTGTGGTGGTGGGGGCCTACTTGGGAGGCTGAGGCGGAGAATCTCTTGAACCCAGGAGGTAAAGATTGCAGTGAGCCAAGATCGTGCCACTGCACTCCAGCCTGGGTGACAGAGCGAGAGACTCTCAAAAACAAAAAAGAGCTCAATAAAAAATCTTTCAGAGCTATGAGGTAGCCAGCTCTGACTCTGGACCAGGCACTGCCCTACATTCTTTATCTGCCACTCACTCATTAACCCTCACAATCCACTGAGTAGGAACTATTCACAGAGAGAAGGGGTGACTGCCCAGGACCACACAACCAGGAAGCAGCCAGGCTGAGAGACAAACTTTACAATTATCATCTTCATGGAAGAAGAAGGTCTTGAAACCTCCTTTTGATTCCTGAGGCCCATGGGCATTTGGTGACTTAATCAGTCACCCCAACTTTCTGTCCCCAGCCCTTCAGGAAATCAGAGGTGGGGGCCTCACCTTTCGGAGGATGAGGTGGGAGATGGAGGCGTTGGCGTCGATGATGATGGTGGACACCTTGTCATCACGGATCTCCTTGAGCAGCGGTGTGGGGTCCCGGCTGTCGTCCAGCATCCTCACTGACAGTGTCTCCTTGGAGATGAGGAAGCCACGTACCAGTTCCTCCAATCGCAGCAGGCCTGAGGGAGGGGTGGGGCCTTGGGTTGGAGCGCTTCCAGGTGCCCAGGCATGGTGTGAACACTCCCTCCTCCACAACATGGGGCAGCTGGGCAGGGGACTGGAGGGTGTGCCAAGGACATGGGGCAGCTGGGTCCCATGGGGTAATGCTCTCGGACACCTGAAGCCTGGACCCTCCGCAATTAAAATACCAACCTAGACTTCTTCCTAGAACTTCAGATTCCTGTCTCTGCCACCTTCCTGACCCCTCATTGGGGTGTCTAATGTGCATCTCACGCTTACTCTCCTTACTCAATCACCAAGGCTTCCCCATGTTGGTGAACAGCATCTCCAGCATGCCAGTTGCTCAGGCCAAAACCCTGGCTTCCTCTCTTGCACATCCAATCCATCAAGGCCCTATCTTTCAAACACATCAGATCCCCTCGACCTGTGCCACTGTCACCACCCTACCCTGAGCCACCACCAACTCCTGCCTGCTGCAATCCCCGAGCCTGCCCTTACGTCTGTTCCCTACACAGCAACCACAATGATGCAGGTCAGATATGCTCCTCCTCGCCTCAAATCCTTTCATGGCTTGTCAGTTCAGAGTTCTAAAGGCCAAAGTCCCCACAGCCTCCAAAGGCCCACACAACCTGCCCACCTTCCTTGTTTCTACCCAGATTGCAGGAGTTCAAGACCAGCCTGGCCAATAAGCCAACTCTTAAAAAAAAAAAAGTATTTGTTGAGTAGTGGCTCTGTGCCAGGCTCTGCTCTTGGTATCAGGGGTCAGCCGTGAGTGAAGTAAACCAGGTACAGGATGAGGAGAGGAGTTGGGCAATAAACACTGTAACTAAGTACATTACATGGTTAGAAGTAGTGAGTTCTGTGTTAAAGTAAAAGTGAATTATGAAGACTAGGAGTCTAGTGTGGGCATGGGGTGGAACTTCAAATGAAATGGTGGACATGGCCATCATTGAGACACTAGAGACTGATCCCTAATAGCCTTAATACCAAGAGCCGGGCCTGGCACACAGCAGCTGTTCAATAAATACTTTTTTTTTTTTTTTTTTTTTTGAGACGGAGTTTCGCTCTTGTTACCCAGGCTGGAGTGCAATGGTGCGATCTTGGCTCACCACAACCTCCGCCTCCTGGGTTCAGGCAATTCTCCTGCCTCAACCTCCTGAGTAGCTGGGATTACAGGCACGCACCACCATGCCCAGCTAATTTTTTGTATTTTTAGTAGAGGCGGGGTTTCACCATGTTGACCGGGATGGTCTCAATCTCTTGACTTCGTGATCCACCCGCCTCGGCCTCCCAAAGTGCTGGGATTACAGGCGTGAGCCACCGCGCCCGGCCGGCACTTTTTTTTTTTAACCACCCAGACTGCAGCCTCCCCTCTCCCCATCACTCACTCTTTGGGCTTGAGCCACATCACCCCCTCGCTGTTCTACACACACCACAGTCTTGTTCCTGTCCTGCGGCCCTCACTCTGGTTGTTCCCTTGTCCTGGAACTCTCTTCTCTCACGTTCTCAAACGGCTCCCTCCTTCCCCGTGTCCAGGTCTCTACTCCAAGGTCACTTTCTCAGTGAGGCCCTCACCCACCATTTCATTTAAAATTGCACTCACTTCCACACCATTCTTCATAAGTCATTTCTACTTTTCGAAAGAACTCACTACTTCTAACCATGTAATGCACTTGTTTGTGGTGTTTTTTGCCCAACTCCTCTCATCAGAATGGACTTGGACTAATTTACCCATGGCTGATCCGTAATACAAAGAGCAGTGCCTGGCACATAGCAGGTGTTCAATAAACATCCTTTTTTTAAAAGAGATGGGGTCTTGCCATATTGCCCAGGCTGGTCTTGAACTCCTGGCCTCAAGCCATCCTCCTACCTGGCCTCCCAAAGTGCTGGGATTACAGGCGTGAGCCACCACACCTGGCCCAATAAATACTTCTTGAAGGAGGAATTCCTTCTAGAGGCTATGGAGCATAGTCCCTCCCTGCCCCAAGCTCCATAAGCACGAATCTATCAGCCTATCAGACATCTCATATGAATGTCACACCACGCCCAACATGTGCCCCTTATGGATTGTGCTCCTCCTCGGCAGCGGTCTCTCACCATCCCCGGCCCCACTCTCTTCCTTCCCTCACTGCCTCTCACACCACCCTGGCCCACTCATTCCCAATGCCACCACCTGGGCCCAGTCTAGTGCTGCCTCTCCCCTGCCTTACGCTGGTCTCCTTGCCACTCCTCTTGTCATTCTTCAGTCTATTCTCTACACTGCTGCCAAAAGGTTCTTCCTACAACACAAATCGAGCCTGTGCCCTCGCCCTGCCCTGTGTGGGGACCTCCCTTGGCTCCCATCATCTCTTGCTTTGTTGTTCCCACATTTCAGTCACTGGGAGCATCCACAAGCCTCTTGAGGGGGCCGTGCTCCCTGGGCACTCCACCTCTGCCCCTGCCACACTCTCTGCTTAGAACCTGTTTCCTCTTTCTTCCCATACCCTTCAGGTTCAGCTTGGATATCCCTTTCTCATAGACAAAGGCTCCAAATCTCCCAGATGGATTAGGATCCCTCCTATGTAATACCAGACGCTCCATGTGCCTCCTGGCAGCACACTTACCACTCTGTATCACAACAGATCAACGACCTATGACCTCCACTAGAACTGGAGTTCCAAGCACCCAGGGACCACGCCCAGGGCCTAGCAGAGGGCTCTGACATGGCAGGTGCTTAGTCACCATCTGGGGATTAAATGAGTCTCTCTGGGCAGAGGAGGGGTATGTGGAACCAGAGGCCTCTGTTTCTGAAGATGGGAGAAGAGCCTGGTGCCTGGGTGCCCTAGGGTTCTAACTAGGGGCCAGTGAACGACTGTGTGGGACACCAGATCTCTTGGGAAGGAATAGAAAAGAAAACATCCAGATCTCCTCCCTCACACTCAGCCTTGGCGCAGATGAGGCTGGCCGAGGGGTAGTTGAAGGACTTGAGGATTCGGGAGACCGCCAAGCTGACGTCCTCGTTACTGGGGTACAGGCTGACAGATGCGAAGCGAAGGTACTGAAGGCGGGGTGTCTCCTCGGGACCCACCTTGATGTGGGGGACCTGGACAGAGAGGAAACTTTGGCCTCCATCCTGCTCCTCCATCCAGCCCTTGCCTCCCAGGGAACCGCTTCCCGCCACAGCCCCAGCCCACACTTCCCACCTCACCTCCTTCTCCCCACAGATATGGCTCACGGTGGAGGCAGATGCTGGGCTGGATGAGGGCCCCAGGACAGACACGACCCCTTTGGGCAGGATCTGACACACTGCAAGGGACGGGGAAGAGACCACACAGTCAGGGACTCCTTCCCTCTCTCCTTCCTCATCCCCCAGGGAGCCGCCATGGCCCAGGAGAGGATCAGACACTGGCAACTGCCTGATCCTCTTCTGCCATCCGGGACCCAGAGGGCCAGTCTCTGACCCCATCCAACAAGTGAACATGAGGGGGCATGAGACAGAGAGAGCAACAGAAGGACAGGTCAGGTCAAGGGAGATCAAAGGAAGGGATAAAGAGAAAGAGACACCAGGGGCCTCCTCTGCCTGCAAAGCCTGTGCCTAGTCCCTCAGCTGCTGTGTTGTTCTCTACCTTTTCAGCCATACCACTGTCAGGGACAGTCTATAGTGCACTCACCACCTTCTCCCCTGACCCCGCAGCCCAGGTCCCCTGGATCCTTCCCACACTCCAAACACCACTCTCCTGCCACACTTACTTCTTCCTCTTTCTTCTGCTTCCTTCCTCCTTAGACACATGTATGTCTCAAGACTGGGAGGAAGAGAGCGCTGTTTTGCCTGTCCAGTGCCTGTTCTCATGGCAGAACCTTAACTTCTCCTGGGGGAACTATTCCCTACCCTTCAGTCCAGGGTTCCCAGGATTGACTGGCACCTGATGCAGGCCTTGGGAAGTCACAGAACCCCATTCTCAGAGCCATGGCAACGGGTTCAGAGATGCACATGGGCTCAAATCAGACCATAGAGCTCCTTCCCCAGGTCTTTTGCTACAATTATCACTGGATTTGCTAAACTTGTGAGATGTAAGCTTGGTGCTGCTGGGGCCATCCTGCCACCAGTTGAGAGACCATTTCTGAAAATGAAGCCAACTCAGAGGAAAGCAGGCCTGAGGTAAAGACACAGAAAGACTCCCAGGACATCATTTGAATGCCTGGATCCAGCCATGCCTGAAACAAGCATAGGACATCATTTGAACACCTGGATTCGGCCATGCCTTAAATTTGTCCTTAGGTCTTTTAGTGACTGTGAGCTAATAAGTTCTCTTTTTTCCTTAAACCAGGCTGAGCTGGGTTTCTGCCACATCTAACTAAAGGCATCATAACTGAACACCTCACTTCCTCCAAACTGGCTCCTTCTCGACCTTCCACGCTGGTGAGGGCTCCACCATTCACACAGACCAGATGCCCAGAAATGGTCCTTGCTTTCAATCTCTCTCCTGACAGCCAATTAGTCACCACATCCTCTCTTCTTTGTCCTCAAATTATCTCACATCTGTCCCCTTCTCTTTAGACCCTTGGCCCCTGCCCTAGTTTAGGACTATCAACTCAGGCATATACCAGAATCCTCACTCATCATCCAAAGCCAGCCTCCAGATTCTCTTTACCGAAGACTTACTCCTTGGTACAGACCTATCAATGGCTTCCCAGTGCCTGTGGGTGAAGGCGGCATCTTCCACCCTGGCACTGTAGCCTCCTTGAGCCATCCTGACTATCTGCACAGCCTCACTTCCTAATGCCCTGTCATACTTAGCCCTGACATCTCACAATCTCTCCAAATATGTCCAGATGGATTCAGGATGGGCTCAACTGCACACCCAGTCCTTGGCTCCAAACACTTCCCTCTGCTTCCACCCTGATCCCCACCCCATCTCCAGACTCTAAGCACATGCCTGGAATGCCATCTTCCCCCTCACCCTCCAACCCAGCTTCTCCCAAATTGTACTGTGTGCCACACCAGGCAAAAATGCCTGTGAAATGCCATACCCCATTCTCCCTCTTGGTAATTTGAAACATACACGAACGCCATAAAGCCATCTCCCAAAGGTCTAACTCATTCACATCTGTTCAAGTGACACCTTTGAACATTCAGCCCATCAGTATTCCATAGACACTTCCACACCCCTGTCATGTGGTCAGCTATGCTTGAAGCCACGCCACTCTTTTTACATCCTGTTCACCTTTCAGAGCCCAGCTTCAGACTAGCTTTCTCCAGAATGCCTTTGCTGACCCTCACCCGGGGCTCCTGCCCTCGATGCCTAGGGCTTGTTATTAAGCTCTGAGGACTAACAAGCACCCCCAGCCAGCCTGGATGGTAGGGCTTATCTTTCCAATGCCGCCCTGTGCTCCCCTGGAGCAGAACTGGGGCTTATGCTCTCCCTCCTCTCCAACCCAGCAGCCATGTCTGGGAAGAAGGCAGAGATAGACACAAAGGAAGGGGGAAGATGGCGCTAGAAGAGGACAAGGCCAGGCTAGAGGCTGGGGGCAGAGGGACAGACTGAGGGCCACCAGCCTGCCCTGCCTCACCCCACACCCCCATGGCCCCGCTCACTGGTGTCCGTTGTCTCGTACTGGCTGTCCCGCTGCAGCTCAAAGATGTCTACTTCCACTCGGGCCTTGGCTGGGACCTCGATGATCCCGTTGATTTGCTCCCGGGCCAGGGCCAAAGCCAGACGCTCACCACGGCCACACACTGTCTGATCATCCAGGATTGCAGCTGAGGGGACACGGGGGTTGGGGACCAGACTCCTGGGTCCTGAGGAAGGAGGGGGCTAGGGTCTTGGACTCCTGGGCTCTAGGGTGAGGTGGGTGCGGGGAGCAGGAGTCTAGACACCTAGATCTCAGATTGGTAGAAGCTAGGGGTCTGGACTCCTGGGTCCTAGGGGAAGGAGAGGCTGGGAACTAGAGGCTGAGACTTGTTGATGCTGAAGAGAGCTAAGACCAAGGTCCTCAGGAACTGGCATGCCTGGGTCCCCAGAGGAGCCCCAAGGCCTGACGGGAGGGTCTCTGAGGATGCAAGGGCAGGGTGCGGGAGGGCCTCACCCATGCGCAGTGATGAGAGCACCTGGCAGCTGGGGCTGGCGAAGGCAACAATCAGCAGCAGCAGCAGCTCAGCCGGCATCTTCCTCCCCTCCTCATGGGGACGCAGCTGCCGCGGCCCCCACTCGCCACCTGCAGGGAGACCCCACAGCCCGGGGGAGACTGCTATGTGAGGGGATGGAACCCCTTGGAGGTCTGCTGGATGGGGTGGTCACCAAAGCCTTGGGGACATTGTGCGTGAGCAGTTCACAGCTCTGCAGAGCCCTGCTCTGTTTAGAAGCTGATGATACTGAAGGCATTGGGAGAAGGGAAGCTCAGCTCAGGGGGACACTACCAGAGCGGAGGTCACAGTGCTCAGGTGCTGAGTGGGACAGCCTGCAAGATGGGCACAGCTACCAAAGCAGGAGGGAGGCATGTGAGGATCTCAGATGGGAGTAAATTCCTGGGACCAGACCCACCCTAATAGGAAACCAGGAAGTGCCACCCCCCCCCCACCCAGTCCCGCCCCTGTCTCTGGGCAGGCAGCTGTTACTAGGCAACAGAAACCGGCTGGAGAGGATGCGGTGGTTGCTAGGCAACCCCATCCCAGGCCTCACTTGCTACTTTCCTGACGTCCCCAGTTCCCACAATCCCATAGGGAGAGAGGCCTGGATATCTGAGGTCTGGAGGGGAGAGTATCCGGAGTTAGAAAACTTTGGGAGAGATGGAGAGATGGAGAAAAAGACAGTGAGTGAGTGAGCAAGTGAGAGAGAGAAAGAGAGAGAGACAGAGAGAGAGAGAGAGAGAGAGAGATACACACAGAGCCCCATAGATGAATGGACCCAGAGCACTAAAAGGGCTAAAAAAAAAAAGAGCAAAGAGAGAGAAGGGAAGAAACAGAGAGAGAAAGTGAAAGAGAAGCTTAGAGAGGGGAAAGACACAGAGATTCAGAAAAAGAGAAAGGACAAAATAGAAATACAAGGGAAGAAAAGACAGCAAGACAACAGGAATACGGGGATAGAAATGGAGACAGAGAAAGAAAGCTACAGGAAGCTAGGGAGAGGACTAGGAGAGAGAAAGAGGGAAGAGACAGGAGGACGGGGAGGCAAGATAGAAGCAAGGACAGAGCAGGGAGAGGAAGAGAGAGGGGCAGGCTGGAGGGGAGGAACCAAGGCACAGGTGAGACACAGGAAGAGGGAGACAGAGGATGGAGAGAAGATACGAACTGACTCGGACATAAGCAGGAAGAGCTGGAATGGAGGAGTAAAGGAGGGAGTGGGCTGCCTGGCAGAAGTAGGTGTGAAGCTGCTGCCCCTCAACTCTGATGGGAAGCAGAGGTAAAGGGGGAGATGGTGCATTTTTGCTCCTAACAGCTCTCCACCCTCAAGGAGTCAGGGATTCCTCCAGGCACCCCAGCCTTCTGCAAGGCAACTACTGGGCAAGGAGTTTGGCCAGAGGCACAGCTCCACTCCTCCTGGCCAAGGGCTATGTTGGGGAAGGAATTCTTGAGTTTCTATGAAGTAGGATTACTGTGGGGGCCCAGAATGCTGTGAGGTGGGCCTGGACCTTGGACCCCACTCAATGCCCATGAAAGAAGAGCTTGAGCTGGTGAAACTGTGGAATGAGAACTTTGAGGGAAGGACAGAGGCACAAGTCCTTCTGATCATCTCAAGTGGCCTGGAAAACCTAGGCTGGGGATCAGTCCCAGCTCTGCCCCCAACTCACTGAGTGATACTGAGCAAGTCACCACCCTCTGGGCCTCTGAGAAAGAGAGGGTGCAGAGTAGGAGAGCATGCTGGACAAGCTGGGGACTGCAAATTATAATGTGGATTAAGGTGAAGGCTTGTCAAGGATGGAGGCACAAGGGATGCTGGGAGACCCGGAAGGAAAGCTCACAGTGGGAGGAGTGTGAAGGGCGGGGCTAGGAGAGAGGCAGGAGAGGAGTGGGTCATGCTAAGACACCAGGGACTCCTGGGGCAAAAAGGGAGCAGAGGACAGAAAGACCAAGGGAGAGATGAGGCAGAAGGACAGAGACCCACAGGTGGCAGGCAAAGGTGGGAGCAGACAGAGAAAGACTATATATAGGACAGGGTTGAAGGGGCAGCAGGTGGACACAGAGATACACATAGAAAGACAGTCCAAGAGGTAGGAACTGAGGCAAAGTGAGAAAGCAAAGTGAGACAGACACAGCCTAGAAGCAAGACACCAAAAGGGATAGAGTCAGGGTGTCAGGCGGCCCAGGACTCACAGACCCAGAGGCTGGGCAAAGCCAGATAAAAGTCAAAACCCAGCAGAGAGCTGAGCAACAGGGCCCCCCCATGGAGAGAGACAGACAAGTGGGCAAAGGAGAGACATCCGCGAAAGTGAGAGACAAGGAGGGCCAGCAAAGGCACACGGGGTGGGTGAGGGAGAAGATAAAGAAACAGCAGCAGACACAAGACTTGGGAGGAGGAGAGAAACGGCCAAACTCTGCAAAGAGGGCCAGTTAGAAAGAGAGAGACAGTATGTCAGAGCTGCATGGCAAGCCCATAGAAATGGAAGGGGCAAGGAGGAAACGCACTTGGGAGAAAGGGGGGGAGGGAAATTGACGTGGGGAGGTGGAGTGAGTTCCCTAGAGGGGCACAGGCAGGGACAGGGCAAGCGCCTATAGGAGGGGCTAGGCCCACACAGAGGCACAGCAACCCCAAGACACTCAGGAATGCCCTGTGGGGGAGCAGGCGATCCCAGGGCCTGAAAGCCCCCAGACAGGGAGAGGAATGGGAGCAGAAAGGCCACACAAGGTAACGCAGAAGTGGGAGAGAGGAAAGGAGTGGGAAGAGCCAGACCAGCCAGGAAAAGTCGCCATGGACCACGGAAAGGTAAGGCAGCAGCTAAGGAGGGTGGGATAGAGGTGCCAGGCACCCAGAGTAGATCTGGGGGAAAGAGGTGGAAATGTGAGAGAGGGAAGACAGCCTCCCAGCCCAGAGGCAGAGAAAGGGAAGAGAAAAGGTGAGCAGAGGCACAGAATGGAAACAGAGAAGTAGAAGGAGACCTGCTAAGGGGGGCCTCTGAAAGAGGGAAGCCAGGGGCAAGGAGTTTGGACAGAAAGCAGGATCTAAACAGAGACATGCCAAGAGCAGCCTGGGGTAACAGCAAGGAAGAGAGAAGTTGGGCAGAGTCAGAGACTGGGCCCAAGAGACACAGGAAATGGGGGCTCAAAAACGGAAAGACATCTCCAGGAGACAGAGACTGGATGGGATAGGGACAGGACCAGGGCCCACCGCAGGCAGAGGATGAGGCTCAGAGGAACGCAAAGAGCTAGTCTGGGACCAGGACAGAGGCTTGGAGACAGCAGGGGCACGGACATGCCAGGGGTCTGGGGCAAGTGACAGCCTGAGTAAGAGCAAGAAAGCTGGGGGGCCAGGGGTGGCAGTGAGCTGTGTACCCAGAAGAGGGGGCGAGAAGAGGTCGAGGTGAATGGAGGCTGAGGAGATGGAGGGTGCAGAGCAGGCCCCTAGTGGGGGAGGGTACTTGCCAGTCCGGAGAACGGGGAGAATGTGGGCACCCCCCACCCGCCAGGCGGCACCGAGCCCAGCCTTCCAGGACCCAGAACCCGGCCCAATCCCCGCCCTGCAGACACTCACGGATCCTGGTGGGACGGAGGGCTGGGCTCCCTCGAGGCCCGAGGACCGACAGCGGGAGGTGCTCCGGCGCTGGGTGGCAGTGGGGCTGGGCGGGGGGAGAGGGCAGTCCACAGGGCCCCCTCCCCCGCCGCTGGCGGTGGCCCCCAACTAATCCAAAACGGTGGCTCCACAGGAGCAGGGAGGAAGGACAGGTGGAAGAGGAGAGGGCGGGCCGGGGAAGGGAAGAAGGGGAAAGGAGAAAATGGAGGAGAGAAGGGGAGAGAGGAGAGGGGGAAGGAGCAAATGGAGGGGAAGGAGGGAGGAAAGGAGGAGAGGAAGGTGAAAACGGAAGGGGGGCACAGGCAAAGCCGGGGGAGGGGGAAGCCGGCCCGGGAAAGGGCCCCCGCCCCCTCCCCTAGCCGGGCCGGCCTGGGGGGGCCACAGGGGGCGAGGATTGGGTGGAGAAAAGGAAGCCGGCCATCAGGAGAAGTGGGGGAGGGGAGGGCCTGCTGGGGGAGGGGGCGGCCCCCTTCCCCCCTCCCCCCTGGAGCCTGGGCCCTGCCCTGGTTGAGGCAAGGGCCCCTGAGTCCTCAAGCCCTCAGCCCCCACGGGAAAAGCATGCTGGGGGTGGGGAAGAGCCCCGGAGTGGAGGGCTAGAGAGGATGGAGAGCTGGGAGACCCGGAGAGGCTGAGAAGGGGGCAAATGAGGTGGAGAGAGAGAGAGGGAGGGAGAGGAGGAGGGAAAGGAGAATAGAGAGGAGCAGGTGGAAGAGAAAGGCGGAGGAGGGTGGGGTGTCCCAGGGGCTCCCGGCACTCAGCCTCACTGGGAGGGCCTGGCCATAGACTCCTGGTCCCCTGTGAGAAGCCTCCGCCAGCTCCAGTCCCCGGCTGGGCCTGCCTCCCTGCCGCTGGCTGCCGCCACTGCTCAGTCTCCCCTCTGAGGCCGCCGCCTGCCTGCCCGCCGCCCGCGCTGGGTCCTGGATCACAGGGGGGGCGGGGGGGAGAGAGAAGAGGGAGGGAGGCAGGGAGGAGGGTGGGGAGGAGGAAGGGAGGGAGGCAGGCGGAGAGCGAGGAGGGAGGGGAGTCAGGGGAGGTGGAGCCTGTATTGGTTGGGGCTGCCCCCCCCCACAAGGAGAATGTTGATGAGAAGCTGCATTGGATGGAGGGCCCACCTCCCGGCCACCCCCTCCCCCTCTACCACCCCATGCCACCGCCCTGTCCAGGCAGCCCTGGGCACAGAAGCCCATAGAGATGAGAGGCAAGGAGACCTGGGGAGAAGGCCACTGAGATGGAGGGAGAGGGCTACAGAGATGAAGAGAAATGAAGAGAGACAGCCATCAAGACTGTCCAGAGAGGTGGGCCAAGGCCCACAAACCCCACAAGGGCAAGGACAGGAAAAGCCCCGGGATAAGAAAGAAAGGCCCATGGAGACAAGGGAGCAGCCTGCAGAGACAAGCAAAAGGACCTTGGAGACCAGGGCAGTGTGTGGACACAGAGACCTCACGTGAAAGAAAACACGGGAGAAGCCAGAGACACTAGAGAGAGGCCCCCAGAAACAGAAAGCGCTCCTCAGATACGGGGAGCAGTCCACAGGGGCAGGGAGAGAGCCAAGGAGAGCTGAAGAAGGTCACAGAAACAAGGGAGGCCTACAGACACAAGGAGACCACAAAGACAAGGATGTGGCTCATAGACATAAGAGAGCCACTGAGGCAGGAGCTGCCAGCCTGGAGATACGAGGGAAGCCTCCCCCAATAGAAGTAGCTCCTATAGAGGTGAGGGGATGGGTGGTGAGTATGAGAATTCTCTGTTGTGCATAGAGAAATCCTTGGGACCCTCAGAGATGAGTGGGTGGAAAGAAGGGGCCCTCATTCTCTAGTTGCAGAAGCGGAGAGGCAGTGGGTAGGGTGGATGGGACAAGGACAGAAAGCTGGAGGGCAGAGCCAGGAGAAGTGGGAGACTCCTTCCCAGGGAACACTCTGCAGCATTTCAGAAGGAGCTGAGCAGGGCAGGGGGATGGAAGAGAGAATCGACACAGATCTTGGAGTGGGGGTGGGTGGTGCATGGTTGGGTGGGGGGTGAAATTTGAGGGGAAGAAACATGACAGTTGGTGCTGAAGGCTGAGCCCGTGACTCACCACCACCCCCGATGCTCGTGATGGGGAAGAGACACTGACACACTCACGTGTGGCCCACAGCACATGTGACCACATGCCTTGAACACAGCTGGCACATGGCAACTCCTGGACCACGCAGCCTAGCATGGGAAGCCCTCTACAAGCTGGCATGTGGGGCATCCTGGACACACATCTGACACATATATCTGACGCTGAAGGACCACCAACTTTACACACACCTCCTTATCCCACTTGGTCAACATCTACACCCAACCCCCAAACACCCACACTCAGCTTCAGTCAGGCTTGAAAGCCCAGACTCACTCACACTTGCCTCTAGGACTTTGCTTATGCAGGACCTCAACACAGAACACCATCCTCTTGTCTAGAGCAGTGGCTCATGCCTGTAAACCCAGCACTTTAGGAGGCCAACGCAGGTGGATCACCTGGGTTCGGGAGTTCAAGACCAGCCGGGACAACATGGCAAAATCCCATCACTACGAAAAATACAAAAATTAGCCAGCCCCGCTGGCATACCCCTTTAGTTCCAGCTAATTGGGAGGGTGAGGCACGAGAATCGCTTGAACCCAGGAGGCGGAGGCTGCTTTAAGCCATGATCACGCCACTGCACTCCAGCCTAGGAGACAGAGCGAGACTCATCTCCAAAAAAAAAAAAAAACCACCATTCACTCAAAATTCAACCTGTCCCTGAAATCCTAGCCAGTCCTGTGCTATCACCTCCAGAAGGACCAGTCCAGGCCTCAGTTTATTCCTGTATCATCTGGAAAGACAGATCTACATAACCCAAATCAAGTCGGGAAGTCCAAGCAAAAGGCCTGGGAAGTCACCCAGATCTACAGATTTTCTTTTCTTTTTGAGGCAGTGTTTCACTCTTGCTGCCCAGGCTGGAGTGCAATGGCGCGATCTTGGCTCACTGCAACCTCCATCTTCCGGGTTCAAGTGATTCTCCTGTCTCAGACTCTCAAGTAGCTGGGATTACAGGCCTGCACCACCACCCCCGGCTAATTTTGTATGTTTAGTAGAGACAGGGTTTCTCCATGCTGGTCAGGCTGGTCTGTAACTCCCGACCTCAGGTGATCTGCCCACCTTGGTCTCCCACAGTGCTGGGATTACAGGCTGAGCCGCCACACCTGGCCTGATCCTCAGATTTTTTCAAGTGGGGAAAAGTAGGTTTCAGCAGGAGGGAGAATCTGCCAAACATCACAGTCTGTCAAAGACTGAGCATGGCTTCCACTAATCTGGTACCTTCCCCAGGTGATTTTGCTCTAAGGCAAACCCAGACTGCTTCAGAGCAGGCCGGGCCTAGCTTTAACTCACTAAGTTTCACCAATTCTTTACTTCTTGCATTCATGCCTTCATGCCTTCAACATGCAACCACTTGAACTTCCCACCTGCGAGGCAGGTGAGCCAGGGGGCCAAGAGTGTAGACCTTGAGGTCAACTCCTGGGTTGGAATCCTGACTCTTCCTAACTATGGGAACTATGACTAGTTACTTCTCTAGGCCTCCAGGTTTTATAAAGTCAGCATGACAGTTTCTCCATCATAGCGTAGTTGAGAGGATTAAACTGAATAATGCACGTAAGCACTGAGCATAATACCTAGCATGTCATAATACACTCAAGAGATATTAGTTATTATTATTAGGTTTCTGGAGATACTGATAAAAATAACAACTGGCCAGGTACAGTGGCTCATACATGTAATCCCACCATTTTAAGAGGCCAAGGCAGGATGGCTTGAGCCCAGAGTTCCAAAGCCAGCCTGGACAACATGGTGGGACCCTATCTCTGAAAAAAAAAAAAAAATGCAGTAGTGGTGGCGGTGGATCATGCCTAGAATCCCAACACTTTGGGAGGCCGAAGTGGGTAACGAGGTCAGGAGTTCAAGACCAGCCTGGTCAAGATGGTGAAACCCCATCTCTACTAAAAATACCAAAAATTAGCCGGGCATGGTGGTGGGAGTCTGTAATCCCAGCTAATCAGGAGGTAGAGGCAGAGAATTGCTCGAACCCAGGAGGCGGAGGTTGCAGTGAACTGAGATCGTGCCACTATACTCCAGCCTGGGCGACGGAGTAAAACTCCATCTAAAAAAAACAAATAAATGAAAAATAAAGCCAGGCGTGGTGGCTCATGCCTATAAATCCCAGCACTTTTGGGAAGTCAAGGTATATGGATCAACTTGAGGCCAAGAGTTCAAGACCAGCCTGGCCAACATGGCAAAAACCCGTGTCTACCAAAAATATTAAAAATTAGCCAGGCATGGCGGTGCATGCCTGTAATCCCAGCTACTCAGGAGGCTGAGAATTGCTTGAGCCTGGGAGGCAGAGGTTGCAGTCAGCTGAAATCAGGCCACCGTACTCCAGCCTGGGTGACAGAGCGACTGCCTTAAAAACTAAAAAAAAAATTACGGGCTAGGGGTGGTGGCTCACACCTGTAATCCCAACACTTTGGGAGGTTAAGTCGGGTGGATCACCTGAGGTCAGGAGTTCCAGACAAGCCCGGCCAACATGGCAAAACCCTGTCTCCACTAAAAATACAAAAATTAGCCACCCATGGTGGTGTGCAACCGTAGTCCCAGCTACCTGGGAGGCTGAGGCAGGAGAATCGCTTGAACCCGGGAGGCAGAGGTTGCAGTGAGCCGAGCTCGTGCCATTGCACTCCAGCCTGTGTGATGAGCAACAGAGTGGGACCATCTCCAAAAAAATAAATAAATAAATAACTTTTAGATATCCAGGTATCTTTTTTTTTTTTTCCAAGAGATAAAAAAGCACTCCAGCTCTTGCTCCCCAGGCTAGAGTGCAATGGCGTGATCTCAGCTCACTGCAACCTCCGCCTCCTGGGTTCAAGTGATTCTCCTGGCTTATCCTCCCAAGTGGCTGGGATTACAGGCACATGCCACCTAACCCAGCTAATTTTTGTATTTTTAGTAGAGACAGGGTTTCACCATGTTGGCTGGCTGGTCTCGAACTCCTGACCACAGGTGATCCACCTGCCTCGGCCTCCCAAAGTATTGGGATTACAGGCGTGAGCCACTGTGCCCAGCTAAAATATCTTTTACTCTGTGCCTCAAAACCACCATGAGATGGGCTATTAGCCCCATTTCACAGATGAGAAACTTAGGCACAGGACAGTTAACTTCTACTAGAACCCGGATTCCAATCCGGGAATCTGTTTTAACTATACAGGCCTGGTGTTAGGGAATTTAATCCACGAGAAAGGACATCTAGAGACCAAATGGCCATAGCAAAACTGATGAATGGCATCAGGTAGGTAAATAAATAATCCAACTCTGAGACTCAGTTTCCTCATCCGGAAACTGAAACTCCTCTGTGCTTGGGTTCAGGGAGTAGGTTTGGAAATCTTTTTTTTGCTTTTAGATGGAGTCTCGCTCTGTCGCCCAGGCTTGAGCGTACTGGCGCGATTTCTGCTCACTGCGACCTCGGCCTCCTAGGTGCAATCAAATCTCGGGCCTCGGCCTCCACAGTTCCCGGGATTACAAGCACACGCCAACGCCCAGCTAATTTTTTGTATTTTTAGTGAAGACAGTGGTTTCACCATGTTGGCCAGGTGGGTCTTGAACACCTGACCTCAAGTGATCCACCCGCCTCAGCCTCCCAAAGTGCTGGAATTACAAGCGTGAGCCACCGCGCCCTGCCTGGAAACTTTTTACTGGGGCAACTCCCACCCAAGACCGAGCGTCGCAGGAACAAGGTGAGTAGGAATGGCCAGAGCCCTTGGAGACATGGACTTTAAGGGTCAGAGTCACCCCGGAAGAAGGCGCTACCTGCTCACTTCCTTCAGGATCTCACCCCGATTGTCCTTCAGGTCCTCTACCCGCCACGTTCCCTGTTTCTTCCAATGAAATTGCCTGTCCCTGCTGCTCCTTTTTCTCCATATCCCCGCTCTCCTTGTTTCCCCTCTGACATTTCTCCTCTCTCCACCTCCCAAAAGTCCCCTCGGTCTTTTCCCTGTTTCTTCCTGTTGCCTTCATTATTATCCTCCATTTAATAAAGTGAGTCTGGAGTCTTGGTTTCCTTTTCTCCCTCCATGTGACTGGTGCTGTAGTTTGCCCTCTTGCCATCGCGGTGAGTGGTTTCACTTTCTCCCTCTGACCCTCGGGGAAACCACAGACGCTCCCGTGCCTCCAATCCGCCGCTCCAACCCCCCAGGGTGCCAAGCGCCTCAATTTCCCAGCCTCTCCTTTTCCCTCTACCTGACCCCAACGCTGACTCCCTCACGGCATCCCCAAGATGGCGCCTGCGGCGGCGCTCCGCCGCTGACGTCATCGCGCTACCCTTCGCTCAGAGGTCTCTTCTGGAGCCGTCGGAGGCGGAGTCGAGGAGGAGGAGGAGCATCCTCTAGGGAGGATTAAAGGGGCGGGTACTATCCATCCGAGGGCCGACCGGTGAGGGAACGTCGCTAAAGGATTGGTTGGGCGCTGCGGGGGGAATCTCGACGCTCTTCACTATTGGCTCAAACCCCAGAGACATAAATGTCGATTGGCCGAACGGAAGGGCCCAAGCGGACGATGATTGGTTGCGTCCGGCCGTCCGCACGGCGGCCGAGGAAGAAGGTGGGAGGGGCGTTGCTGAGGGTAGCTGAGGGTGAGAGTGAGGCTGCGGAGCAGGCGAGAGGCGACGGCGAGAGCTAGAGCGGGCGCAGCGCTAGGGTGGCCGTGCAAGGGGATCCGTGGCCCGCGCCCGGGCCCGGGGCGGGCGAGACGGCGGAGGCAGGTGAGTGCTAGCGGGCGCGCGGAGGCTGGCCGGGCTGCCCTCCCTGCCGCCGCGGCCTCCTGTCGCCAGTCCGCCTGCGCACTGAGGGCTTGAGGGAGCGCGCGCCGGGCAGTTAGGGCGGAGCGGCACCAACCGCCGACCGGGCGCGCGGGCCGGGCCGGGCCGGGCCGGGGCGGCGGGTGGGGAAGGAGAGTGGAGTCGCATGCGGGGCTGAGTGAGGAGGAGCGGGGCTCGGGTTGGGGCCTTGGCGGGACACCTGGGCGGGAAGGGGAGGCCTCAGAGCTGCCTCAGTAGGGCTCCGCAGCTCCCCAAGGTTTAGGGTAAAAGGACTTGGTGGCGTGTTAAGTCCAGGACGAAGGGGCTGGGCCGGTTAGACGGTACTGGTTTGCCCGATGCTTAGCGTGTGAGAAAGATAATTAAGTTAACCAAGGGGGGAAATAGTTCTTCCTGGAAAGAATTGGGGCGGTGAGAGGGGTCTTGGTGTTAAAAGGTATTAGGAGATATATACCCCAAGGGAGCGCTTTAGAGCTGAGAAGGAGTCCAGTTGTAACGGATAAGGTTAAATTAATGTGAAGAAACCTTAAACCAATGTGGGTACATTGGGTATACGGGATGTATTTACCATCGGGAGGTTGGGTACCCTTGGAATGCGTGGAGAGGGGTCTCTGTACAAAGAAGGATTATGTGTATATTAAAAGGGTGTCTGGGTGTCCCTGGAATGAGCTAGGGAAGGTAGTCTTTTATAAGTCCAGGTAATTAGGCCAAGGTGAAGATGGGATTTGGTTATTGGAAGGAGAGGAAGTAAAGTGGGAGAGATCTGTTGTGGAATTCCTGGAATGAGACTGAGATGTTAGGTTGCTAAGACGTTGGGGGTCTGAGTACCCCTAGAGTAGTAGGCTGGTGAGAGGGGTTTGAGTGTGAGGAAGAGGGGTCTGCTGGATTAGGGTGGTGATAAGGGTTCTGTATGAGAATAGGATATCCCCTAAAGGGGATTTGGGCACCGAGAGGGGTGAGTGTAAAGGAACTTAAGGCATTGTGAAGGATGGTCTGGATATCCCTGGAATGGGTTAGAGTGTGTGTGGATCTTTACGAAAAGAAGAGGAGTTATGTTGCTAGGAAGAGGAGGGTCTGAGCATCCCTAGAATGGGTGAGGTTGAGTTGGGTCTTTTAGCAAATTAAAAAAGATTAGGTTAATAATGTGAAGGAGGATCTGGATATTCCTTGGATGGATTAGGGTGGGCCTGTTGGCAGGAGGTTAATAGGTTGATATGAAGTGAGGGTATGGATGTCCCTGAATGAGTGGCTGTGTATGAACAGGAAGGTTTTAAATCAATGGGAAGAGGGGATCTGGGTATCCCAGTGGGGATTAGAATTGTCAGTTTGGTCTTGGTACAAAGAAGAGGTGATGAATGTAAAGAGTGGATAGATAGCCTGGAGACAGGAGTTAGGGTGGTGGGAGGTTCTAGGTCTGAAGCAAGGAGTAGGCGTTTGTGAAAATGGGTCTGGGTATTTTGGATACGGGGTTGCGGTTGTAGGAGAAGGCCTTGATTTGTAGAGGAGGTTAAGTAATTAAACAAGGCTGGGTGTCATGAAGTGGTTAAGGTGGGCAAAGTCTGGGTGTGGAGATGGGTTAGGGCAGTGTGAGAAAATTTGATTGCCAGGAAGGGATAGTTTGATGTGAGGAATTTGGGCACCCGAGGAAGAGTTAGTGGGTAGTGGGGTTTGTGTGTAAAGCGGAGGGTTGGCACCGTGTACAGTGCTGAAAGTGGAGTGGTGGGGCATTGGCAGTTTGAGTGGTCTGGGTATAAAAAGAAGTCTGAGAACCTGGGAGAAGGAGTGGAGCCCATGGGAGGGGTGTTGCTGGGAGAAACAGGTGGGAAAGGCCTATATGAGTTTTCATTTGGGTACCTTGGAGAGGAATGGGATGACGCGAGTTGCCAAGAAAAGGAGTCAGTGGAAGGCGGTTTAAGTGGAGGTTCCAGTGTGCTGGGCCAAGCTGTGGGACCCACTGAGAGGTGTGGGAGATGAGGGGACTGGATGGGTGACAAGGATCTGGTGGGTGGGGTTTGATGCAAGTTGATTCAGAGGTGAGACTGGGTAGATTCCTGGGGAAGGGATTGTCTGGAAGATTTTGTGTTTGGTGTTTATTAGGTTGAAGGGAGGAAGGATTATTAGGAGAGAGGGAGGCAGAATTTTAAAAATCAAAGGAAGAAGTTAGGGAGAAGTAGATCTAAGGTATTGGGGGTGGAGAATGATAAAGGGAAGAGCTGAGGAATCAGTGACCTAACTGGTTTGTCCCCATTGTTCCTTCTTCCAGCCCAGGGCCTTGCTGCCGCCATGACTGAGGAGTCAGAAGAGACAGTCCTGTACATTGAGCACCGCTATGTCTGCTCTGAGTGCAACCAGCTTTATGGATCCCTGGAAGAGGTGCTCATGCACCAAAACTCCCATGTGCCCCAGCAGCACTTTGAGCTGGTGGGCGTGGCTGACCCTGGAGTCACTGTGGCCACGGAGGCAGCCTCAGGCACAGGCCTCTATCAGACCCTTGTGCAGGAGAGCCAGTACCAGTGCCTGGAGTGTGGTCAACTGCTGATGTCACCCAGCCAGCTCCTGGAGCACCAGGAGCTGCATCTGAAGATGATGGCACCCCAGGAGGCACTGCCACCTGAGCCACCACCCAAGGCACCACCCTTGAGCTCCAGCACCATCCACTACGAGTGTGTGGATTGCAAGGCTCTTTTTGCCAGCCAGGAGCTCTGGCTGAACCACCGGCAGACACACCTCCGGGCCACACCCACCAAGGCTCCTGCCCCTGTTGTCCTGGGGTCCCCAGTTGTTCTAGGGCCTCCCATGGGCCAGGCCCGCGTGGCTGTGGAGCACTCATACCGCAAAGCAGAAGAAGGTGGGGAAGGGGCGGCTGTCCCATCTGCTGCTGCCACCACCACCACTGAGGTGGTGACTGAGGTGGAGCTGCTCCTCTACAAGTGCTCTGAGTGCTCCCAGCTCTTCCAGCTGCCAGCAGATTTCCTGGAGCATCAGGCCACTCACTTTCCTGCTCCTGTCCCGGAGTCTCAGGAGCCTGCCCTACAGCAGGAGATGCAGGCCTCATCACCTGCGGAGGTGCCTGTGTCTCAGCCTGACCCCTTGCCAGCTTCTGACCACAGTTATGAGCTGCGCAATGGCGAAGCCATTGGGCGGGATCGCCGGGGACGCAGGGCCCGGAGGAACAACAGTGGAGAAGCAGGCGGGGCAGCCACACAGGAGCTCTTCTGCTCAGCCTGTGACCAGCTCTTTCTCTCACCCCACCAGCTACAGCAGCACCTGCGGAGTCATCGGGAGGGTGTCTTTAAGTGCCCCCTGTGCAGTCGTGTCTTCCCTAGCCCTTCCAGTCTGGACCAGCACCTTGGAGACCACAGCAGCGAGTCACACTTCCTGTGCGTAGACTGTGGCCTGGCCTTTGGCACAGAAGCCCTCCTCCTGGCCCACCGGCGAGCCCACACCCCGAATCCTCTGCATTCATGTCCATGTGGAAAGACGTTTGTCAACCTTACCAAGTTCCTTTATCACCGGCGTACTCATGGGGTAGGGGGTGTCCCTCTGCCCACAACACCAGTCCCACCAGAGGAGCCTGTCATTGGTTTCTCTGAGCCAGCTCCAGCAGAGACTGGAGAGCCAGAGGCCCCTGAGCCCCCTGTGTCCGAGGAGACCTCAGCAGGGCCCACTGCCCCAGGCACCTACCGCTGCCTCCTGTGCAGCCGTGAATTTGGAAAGGCCTTGCAGCTGACCCGACACCAACGTTTTGTGCATCGGCTGGAGCGGCGCCATAAATGCAGCATTTGTGGCAAGATGTTCAAAAAGAAGTCTCACGTGCGTAATCACCTGCGTACACACACAGGGGAGCGGCCCTTCCCTTGCCCTGACTGCTCCAAGCCCTTCAACTCGCCTGCCAACCTGGCCCGCCACCGGCTCACACACACAGGAGAGCGGCCTTACCGTTGTGGAGACTGTGGCAAGGCTTTTACGCAAAGCTCCACGCTGAGGCAGCACCGCTTGGTGCATGCCCAGCACTTCCCCTACCGCTGCCAGGAATGTGGGGTGCGTTTTCACCGCCCTTACCGCCTGCTCATGCACCGCTACCATCACACAGGTGAATACCCCTATAAGTGTCGCGAGTGCCCCCGCTCCTTCTTACTGCGCCGGCTGCTGGAGGTGCACCAGCTTGTGGTCCATGCTGGGCGCCAGCCCCACCGCTGCCCATCCTGTGGGGCTGCCTTCCCCTCCTCACTGAGGCTCCGGGAGCACCGCTGTGCAGCTGCTGCTGCCCAGGCCCCACGGCGCTTTGAGTGTGGCACCTGTGGCAAGAAAGTGGGCTCAGCTGCTCGGCTGCAGGCACATGAGGCGGCTCATGCGGCTGCTGGGCCTGGAGAGGTTCTAGCTAAGGAGCCCCCTGCCCCTCGGGCCCCACGGGCCACTCGTGCACCAGTTGCCTCTCCAGCAGCCCTCGGAGGCACTGCTGCGGCATCCCCTGC